CGTGGATGAACTTGGAGGACATTATGCTGAGCGCAATAAGTCAGTCACAAAAGGACAAATATTGTATTAGTCCGTTATTGTAAAAGTTAAGGAAAGGTTTGTATATTGGAGGACATTTTCTTTGTTGGTTACCAGGGGTGGGAGGGGAGGGGAGGGAATGCTGTTAGATTATAGATAAGAGATAAATATTGATTTGGGTGAAGAGAAGGGCAATGTACCAAATGTGAGTATATTTGTTAGTAAGGACGAGGTCTAGGCTATGATTATAGGAGTAAGGTAGGTTGGAGCACAAGGTTATGGAAGTCAAGGAACTGAGAGGCCAAAAGGTACTGGTAGACTCACCCTGTGTGGATAGTGAAATCATCCAAGAATTATGTATAGCATGAGGACTGGAGAAAACGCAGTAGCCTACAGCCTGTGGATAACTCCAATAAGGCAGGGAAATGGGCGGTCAACTATATGGTTACTCGTTAAAGTGGAAAATATTTGAGTTTTCCTTCTGATAGAGTTCCATCTTATACAGGTTCTTGCTGAAGTCTTACTCAGCTACCATAGAATTAAAGCTGCAAGATTTTTCCAGAGACTTCTGTGTGAGATGGTGGAAAGATAGATGATTTTGGGGTGGGGGGCAGGAATGAAAGTACCATTTTGAGTGTATCTTGTGTGAATCAATTTGTTTCATTAGCTCTAATATTGCAATATTGGATCTGTTTTATACAATAGGAACTAAGGTTCACATAGACCAAATAATTTGCTCAAGATCACCTAGTCAGTTTAGGTGAGAGGGAATTTGAATGTAAGTCTAATTCCAAAGTTTGTGTTTTTTTCATGCTAGTCCTGCCTAGCTGAAGTCACAGCCAAAGAATAAAGAAAAACTAGAACCATCAATATACAAATTCAAAATGAAGTCATTACATTATAAATATGCCATATAACTAATACGCTAGCTATCATAAAAATAAATTATTCTTCCCTAGCAGGTATGGTGCCTAAGGCATTTGACTGCTAACCAGAAGGTTCAAACCCCTCAGCCACTCCTTGGAAAGAAGAGTGGGCAATCTGCTTCCATAGAGATACCGCCTCGGAAACCTAAGGAGTGGTCGCTGTGAGTCGAACTGACTCGACGGCAGTGAGTTTGGGTTTTTTTGAGCACTTTGCTCATCTTATTTTATAGCACTTGTCTATTTAACTTGTGTAATAAAACCTGTGTGGTTGAGTTGATTCCAACTTACGGCAATCCCATGTGTTAAGAGTAGAACTGCTTCAGATTGCCAGGCCTTTCTTCCATGGCACCACTGAGTGGGTTGAACTGTTTGTACAACCTGTTTGCACCACCCAGGGATTTACTTGTATAACAGTTCTATTTAAAGTATCTTGCTAGTTCATAACTTAGAAGTAGATCAGGCTTACCATTTTAGCTTCATCCACTAGGGTCTTCTACATACAGAGCAACCAACCAACCAAAATATTACTAATTTCATGTATTGTCAACAATGTCTTGAAATTATAATATTCTGCCATTCACACTAATACCAGGGCTCTCAATGCTAGCATTATATATGTATACAGTGCTTTTCAGTAACTCTATTCCTCTGTAACTCTATTCATTAACCTGTTAGAGAAAGTACCATGTATTGAAGGTTTTAGGATTAGGGAGGAGAGGTTTCCAGGCAGAAAATGGTATATGCAAAGGCATGGAAGCATAAGACATGGAAGACATAACCACATTCAGGTAATGGCGTAGCTCTGTATAGCTGCCATTCCTGGGAATGGTGGTAAATTCAGAGGAGGGATGGACAGAAATTAAGCCATGAAAGGCCTTGTTTGCCTTACTGAGGGGTTTGGATGTTTATCTTGAAGGCAAGAAAGATGACGTGATAGATATTTAAACATACAGATGACCTGAGCAGTGTGACAGATGGATTAAGGAGGGTTAAGAGAGGAAGTAGACTAGTAAGCTATTAGAAAAATCCAAGTGAAATGATAAGGGCCCCTACTATAGTGGTGAAAGGGGGAGAGAGACCCAGTGCCTGAATAGATATTGGTATTGGTCACTGAAATAGGTGCTTAAGGAGAGAAACATGTTTGGAGATGAGACAGTTCTGGACAAGTTGGGACCTCTAAAGGGAGATGTCCATTAAGCAGTTAGAAGCATGTGACAAGAGATTCAAATATCTATTAAAATTGCCATAAAAATGCTAAGGACATTGTCTACCTCTCCCCTTGTTATCCTCTATATAACAACTCTATATAACAGCTCTCTTAGCTCAATCAGCCTACCACCACCAGGGTTAAATCTCTATCCTTTAACTCATTGTACCCAGGGAGACCACACACCAGAACTGTAAAATCTCTCACCAAATAAATTAAAAGATAGTTACAGTATTAAGGAGAAGAGTGGAGGATTAGGACTTAGAAGATGCTTATACATCAGATCCACACATTAAATTGAGTAAGTTGTTCTTCAAAGTAGAATTTAAGTGAAGCAAATCAGAGCTATATACAAACAGGTTATCATCAAATCTTGGCTAAGAAGTGGACCCAGGGTGCCATTTTCTACAAAGTTAAGATAAAGACATCTTATTTGAAGTTCTGCACCTGGGTTAGAAATGAAGGCTGCCTCTCTGTCAAAGTGACAAAGATCCTCTAGGGAAAGGTAGGATTGATGGTAAATGTCAATCACAGACACAATTTCAAATAGTAAATTTCTGATGGACTATGATTTTAAACAACATGGTTTCTCAATGAGTAAGACACCACTGTCACTCAAATAAGAGGTCCATTATGACACTGCTCAACTGTACTATAACTTTGGGAGAAATGTTTAGTTGGCAGCAGGTTTCATCGATGTCTGATATCCAGGTTTAATAAATGGCAGGGCAGACTTTTACATTCTCAATCCAAACTAAGTTTTACTTCCTTAAACCCCACTGAAATAGTTACAAATCAGATCTTTTCAAAGCTTTTAATAAAATAACTAGTATTTTCTATTCTATTTATTTTCAATTTATAGTTTGCCTTTGCTTTGTCTGAAAAGAATCTGATACAGAAATTGTGACAGTTTTGACGGTTAGCACATGTGCATTTTCTTTGGTCTTAGCTTTTACTCTTTTTACTGCTTTAAGATACTGCAAATTCCCTATGGAAAGAGAACATAAATAAAAATAATAAAAGTCTTTAATTTACTGTAGCTTTGCTATTTACTTATTCATAGTTCATAAACACAATTTTTAACTGCATGTATCCTTAAATGTGTATTTCTAGATAACTTGACAGAAGTTATATGATGATAAATTACAAAATTTATTAAAGTTCCAGTTGATAAGAACATTGTGTAGTCCTTTTAAAATCATTAAGTCTTACGCTTTATCTGAGAGATCTCTGAACTTATTGGTGATCTGGCTGGTGATCTATTAATTCATTATGATCTATTAATCTATGCAGAGAGCAGTGCAATTGCAGGGAAGATTTTACATGTTTAACCACTGTCATCAAGTCGATTCTGACTCATAGTGACTCTCACTGGGTTTCCAAGGTGGTAAATTTTTAGAGGTAGATTGCTTCATCTTCCTTCAGTGGAGCGGCTAGTGGGTTTGAACTGCCAACCTTCTGGTTAGCCATCACCAGAGCTCCTTAGGCACATGTGTATTACTTGAGAAGATGCATGGTTACATCAAATTTTCAACCAGATCTATAACCTAAAAAGAGTTAGGGCTCATTGGTCTACACCTTCCATAGGCGAGGAGACCCTTACACATCAAATCCACTGAATAAAATTTTATGAAACACATCACTTAAGCCATATAATGTATACTGAATAAATTTATACTTAAATATGTGGATTTGGTAATCTAAGCTGCATAACTTGCCCTTAATTCAAATCTTTTCTCTCAACAGATAAAATATTTTGATAAAAGAAGAGACTACTTAAAATTCAAAGAAAAATTTGAAGCAGGACAGTTCCAGCCTTCAAAAACAACTGCAAATTCCTAGGCTGTTCCTGAACTTTTCACAATGGTGGAAACTATTGTTTCTGGACATTAAAAATGCTCCACTGGCCTTGGGCAATAGTAAATATTAATAGTATTTGAATCATGGTAAACGTCAATACTTTTTCCCTATATACAACTCTTGATACATAAAATAAATAACAGAGGATTCTGTCATTCAAACTGAAGACTGAAAATGGTGTAAAATATGATGTGTTTTAATTTAATAAGAAACCTCTATCTTAAGAAAAATATTAAAGTCTATTATATGTATGTATGTATTTTGTTGTTGGGGGTTGTAGTAGGCAAATATAATAGATGCTACAAAGAGAAGGGTGTGCATCAGGGTTGTATCTTGTCACTGTATTTATTCAATCTTTATGCTAAGCATATAATCTAGGAAGCTGGACTATATGAAGAAGAATGTGGCATCAGGATTAGAGGAAGACTCATTAACAGCCTGCAATATGCAGATGACATAATCTTGCTTGCTGAAAGTGAAGATGACTTGAAGCACTTGAGGATAAAGATGATAAAGATTAAAGATTCAAGTCTTCAGTATGGATTACACCTCAACATGAAGAAAACAGTCCTTGCAACTGGACCAATAAGCATCATCACAATAAATAGAGAAAAGATTTAAGTTGTTAAAGATTTCCTTTTACTTGGATCCACCATGAACCCCCATGGAAGCAAAAGTCAAGAAATCAAACGTTGTTCTAGGAAAATCTGCTGCAAAAGACCTCTTTAAAAGTTTTGAAGAACAAAAAGATGTCAGTTTGGAGATTAAAGTGCACCTAACCCAAGCCATGGGACAATTCCCTGGAGAAGGATAGGGCAGCAAAAAGCAGAACTTCAACAAGATGGATTGACATCGTGGCTGCAATGATGGGTTCAGGAGTAGCAAGGATTATGAGGCTGGCATAGGACCAGGCAGTGTTTCATTCTGTTGTATGTAGGGTTACTATGAGTTGGAGCCCACTCGATGGCAACTACAAACAACATGCATGTGAAAACTGGACAGTGAACAAGTAAGAATGAAGAGTTGATGCCTTTGAATTATGGTGTTGGCAGAGAATACTGAAAGTACGATGGACTGCCAGAACAACAAACAAAGCTGTCCTAGAAGTGCAGTTGAAATGCTCCTTGGGAGAAAGAATGGCCAGATTTTGTATCACCTATTTTGATCATGTCAGAAGGGACCATTCCCTGGAGAAGGGTATCATGCTTGGTAAAGTGGAGGGTCACTGAAAAAGGTGAAGACCCTCAACAAAGTGAATTGACATGGTGGCTAGAATGATGGACTCTAATGAGGATTGTGAAGGACCCAGCAGTGTTTCATTCTGTATATTGTATATAAGGTCACTAAGTGTTGGAGCCAACTTGAGAGCACCTAACAACAACAGCAACAACAAAAAGAGTAAGCTGTCATTGTGTGTTCCTGGGAGTTAGCATTTTAATATAGGGGCTGAAAAATGAAGATTAGAAGAAACTTAAAATATCTAAGTTGACAAAAATGTTACATGATAATAAAAGAAAAAAAATTGATAACATTTTGTAGAGTCCTTTTAAAAAATAGATACATACAGTTAATGTACTCAAAAAAAGGAACTCTCATGGCACTGTGGTTAAAGCACTGAGTTGTTAACCAGAATGTTGGTGGTTCAAACCCACCAGGTGCTCCATGGGAGAAACATGAGGCAATCTGTTTCCATAAAGATTCACAGCCTTGGAAACCATATGGGGCAGTTTTACTATGTCTTACAGGGTCACTATGAGTTGGAATTGAATGGATGGCAGTGGGTTTCATTTTGGTTTGGAATATCCTCAATGTTGAGAAAATGTGTTCTCCCTAAAATCAGTAACAAGGTAAAATGTGCTCTCACTACTCCTATTCAGCAATGTAAGCCAGGACAATAATGCAAGAAAGAAATACAAAAAGTACATAAACTGGAAAGGAAGAAATAGAACTAACTTAATTTGTAGACAATATTGTTAGCATCTTTGTAGAAAATCTCAAAGAATTGGGGAAAAAGAAGCTCCTAGAACTAATAAGTGAGTTTTAGGAAGGTCGCAGGATGTCAAGATACAAAATAGAACTGTATTCTTATATACTACCAGTGAGCAACTGGTATTTGAATTTTAACAGCAAAGAAAAAAGGAATACTTAGATATGTGCAGGATTCATTATTTCAAGGATATAAAACACTTGCAATCAGAGAAGATCTAAATAAATGGAGATACTGTGTTCATAGATTAGAAGGCTCACTATTGGTATTATTAGAATCCCCCCAATTTTATAAATATATTCAGTGCAATTCCAATCAAAATGTCAGCAAGCTTATTTGTAGTGGATATTGACAGGCTGATTCTAAAATTTATATGGAAAGGCAAAGGAACTAAAATAGTCTAATTCAATTAAAAACGGAGGATTCAAATTACATCATTTCAAGACAGTATGGTATTGGCAAAAGGCTACTCACATAGTTCACTGGAATGAAACACAACCTCTAGAAATAGACCTACAAATAGAGTTAACTGCATTTGGACAAAGGTGCAAAGGCACTTCAATGAAGAGAGGATAATCTTTTCAACAAATGGTGCTGGAAAAATTGGATGGCCATACACAAAAATATGACATACATCATACCTTGTACAGAAATTACAGAATTAGCTTCCAAGGGGTGACTGGTGGGTTTGAACTACCATTCTTCTGCTTAAGTAGTCAAATGCCTTAGGCACTGCTCCACCAGAATTCCTGAGGACCCACCTGGAACAGAACCTGCTAAATTGGAAACTGGGGTGAGGACCAGCTTGTTTTAACAAGCGTTCCAGACTGAAGAAGTTGGTAAAAATCAGATAAGTCAGAAGATGGTGGACTAGGCAGAAAGACTGCACAGACCTTCTTCAACAAAGAAAAACAAAACCAATTAACAGACACAGAAGATAATCCTGGACCTCTGAGCCTTGAAAGAAAGGATATAAAAGTGGACTAAACCACAACTAGCAGAAGAATTTGCATGAAAATACCGAAAAAGGAGACAGACAGATCTGTGGTCTGCAAGCGATCCTGACGGCATTGCACAGACAGCTTGGAGAGTGCCGAGTGGTGGTAGGACCTAAGAATTAACCTAAAAAGCAGCCCTGCTAGCCAGGGACTGCACATAGGACTGCTCTAGTAGCTGGGAAATAAACGGAGAATGTCAAGAGAAACATGGGCTGAGCTGTGGACTTTTGCCTGTCCAGAGGACACTGCCATTTTGAATGTTCACAAGCGGCTTGACCATTTTGGATATTTAAAGAGACAGCGCTCTTGCAGATTCCGTGGATTAAGAACAGGTTTTGCTTGCCAGCAACCCCAAGGACACTCTGGACCAGCAAGACTGAAAAGGTGCAACAGTACTCTTGTTACTCTATACCCCTTGGTATAAGCTCGGTGAATGGAGGTGCAGCTATCCCCCACTCCCACCTAACTTCTGGACCCACAGGAACTATCACAGTCTGTGTGCACAGACGGAGCCTGGGTGCCCTGCCCTGTCCTGCACCTATTTTTTTTATTTTTAATTTTTCGCTTTCTTTTTTCTGGTCATGAGTCTGCTTCTATTTGTCTCTTTTAAAAAAACAATTAATCCTTTTGTCGTTTTTACTATTATTCTTCCCCTCCCAGGTCCTAGTTTTCAGCTTTTTTTCTTTTCCCTGTTCCTGGTTGAAATTTTTTTTTCCCCCCGCCTTTTTTCTCATGGCTAAAGCTGTTCCTTTTTTTTCTTTTTTGCATTTTTCCCATTTTTTTTCTTCACTATTCTCTTTCTCTACCTTTTTTCTCTTAGTGCCCTATCCCAGATATTGCAGGTTTTCTTGTTTTTTTTTCTTCTTCTT